GTCGAAAACGAGCGACGGCGACGAAAACGAGCGTCGTCGTGGACCATCGAGCGCGTCGCGCGCGGTTTGCGGATCCGCCATTACGTAGCCCTGGAGCCCCCCCCCCTCCCCGACCGAGAGTCTCTCGATGTTGACCGATAATAATATTCCATTACAGCGTGGCAAGACCGTACATTACCGGTCGTCACGCGGACTACCTTCGCGTACCATCCACGACAGCGATAGCATCTACATGAGGCGTTAATTACGTACCGTCCTACCGCGTTACACTGGCACTCGAGATATCTCCAGCGGTGGCTGGACAAAGACGGGGAATCATCGGCCCGACCAATCTCCCCCTTCGTCTCCTTTCTTCTTACTCATCTTCCCTCCTCCGGAACGCGGCTCTCTATCACGGGACGCAAACACGAGATCAAATTCCAACGTTTATTCAGACCTGCCGCCGGCGCGCGATCTCTCCTGCTCCCTTTCTATCTCGCGTCGATGCGAGATAGAGGAAAGACGGATACGTCGAGGAGATATGAGAAATCGTCTGTAACGTCGAACGTATAACCATCCCGAACGACACTTTCAAACCGGTATCCGACGTTCCGCGACGGTGAATCGGGCTCGGGAACGATCGAGATAGTTACAGATACGAATAAATAATACACTTCGAATGGAGTCATCATACGTCACATCGATAACTCTTTTATCTTTTTCCCTCGGTGCCGGGCGAAAACCTTTAATTACATAATACTGATTCAGAATTGCTCTCAGATTTATAACAAAAGAAGGAAAGTGTTGCCTTTCCTTGGAACATTTTGTGTGCGAATCTGTCAGTGTCATATCTTTCCGTGCGTTTTCCAAGAATACTACATCTTCATCTCACACACACACACACACACACACACACACACGCGCGCGCGCACACATGCAAGGAAAATTCACACGTACATTCCATGCAATATTCAAGAATTATGAATGAATACGAATCTCGTGCTTTCGGTGCTTCTAAGATGTATAGAGTTACCCATTTCCGCACTTCAATGCTGAACTAACTTATCCTCCGTGTACGAGGCTGCAGCACTGTTATAAACACATTCTGTGCATCAATTGGCTTGATTCTAGTGCGTGCGCGGAATAGGTAATCTACGTGTTTCAATTATAAACCTGGTGCTACACGAGATGTAGCATGTGTGCACGATTCGAGCGTGTTCTACACCTTTATCTAGGCGCGGTACGGAGATATGTGAGGAATTGATAATTTGCAGGCTCTCTAACCAGACGCCTGTTATTATATACGAATATCACAATTACACGTAGGTACAGCTCTTTCCGTAAATGAACGTTCGCGTAACCGAATACTTTCAGCCTCTCGTTTTATCCAGTGATTGTACTCGCGATCCCTCCCCCCCCCCCCTCCCCTCCCAATTTCCTGCGAGACCGTTAAACCCGAGTTTGGCTTATTATTATTAGTCAAATCTTTCTTCGAAATTACGATTAGAGACACGTAATGGAATTAATTTAACGTGGAATATGCGGCGTCCTAGCGACAGTCAATGCACAGGAGAAATAGCAAGCCATCGGACGAGAAAATAGCTAGTGACAGATTCAGTCGACGGAAAGGAATTGTGCAGCAAGGTGTTGGAGCATTTTATCGCAAGAAGAATATAGGAGTTCTACGGTTTTCTCTTCTTTTACGGCGATTTCAGCAAGTACTGTCGGTTCGAGTGACTAAAATTCCTTTTGATCATTCACAAACTTAAACCGTTTGTACGTTTTCACACACGCTAACGGGCATATACCTTTTCATTGACTTTCTCAATAACGCGATGGAAATGCTAATTGGAAAGGTAAAATCTCCCGAGTGTTATCCGCTCGAGAATCTTGCGATCGCGAGCTCGTCTTTATTGCGATGAGAGATGATCATTAGGCGTACCGATAAATTTCCAAATATCTGGGATCGGGTAAAACCCTGGGATTACAAAGAACAGTCGTAAACTTTCTCGGTTGAACTCAAGTAATGTTACCTTATCTGCACATAGAGCGATTCTCATTAACCCGCCGTCGCGCCATTACGCGCCGCGGAAAGTCTCGCCTTCCTTGTGCGAAAAGTTAGACATTATTTGGTATTAAAATACTTATGCATCACTTACCGCTGTTGTACTGTAACGTTCGACCCTCGCTGATGCTGTTAGATCCTGCAACAAAAAAACAAGTTTTTCGTTAGAGCCGACAAAAACAACACGAATACTTTAATTTGCATATACATCTCTCAACTTCCGAAAATCATCTTGTTATAAAAAATATCAGATAATCGATTATTGTGTAAAGATATAATCTGGGATTAAATACGTGAAATAGAAGTTCCCCATTTCGCACATGTAGGTATATTTAAGGCTAAATAAGGCTATTCAGCATTTGCGGCTGGAAATATTCAATTCCGCGAACGAGTGAAAATTCAAATCATGTCTTATCAAAGTAAGGAATATAAGTGACGCCGGTGCGCGACCGCGTGGTGAACTTTACGATATGACATATAGTCCTCATCTCGCCGTCGTATGCGGAACGCCGAGTACCGAATTTAAATTCTTTTCGCAGTTTCCTGAGAATCCGCCTTAGAAAACGAACGGTGGTGAGCGAGGTGAGGCGTGTACGACTGCAGAGAGAAATATTAATTCCAGTCTTTCTCTCGCTCGCTAAGAAGGTGCGGACTATGTGCCCTGCTCATATTCCGAGTACGTAGTGGTAACGGACCCATGAGAGCTAGGTCGGAGGTAGGAGGACGAATAAATTTCCGTCCTGCGAGTCGGTAATGGAAGAAATGACGGGGCACGCGTGGTCGGGTTAACAACGCGCACGAGGGAGGATTGTTAAATCGGGGTAGGCCCGGACAACGTGAGCGCAGCCGCTCGCATGGAAAACGCACGGTCTTATCGACGTTTCCAACGCCGCCGTCGAGCAACAGACGAGAAAATGATAAAGAAAAAAAAAAAAAAAAAAACGCTCGCCTAAAAACGTACTATGTGTTATTTTCCGAAAGGTTTACTAGTCGATAATAATAAGTGTACAATCGACGGTGTTTGTACCTTAAATGAAACTGAAAATGTGCTTTTCGCAAAAACTGAGCTTAAATCGAATAAATGCAAATTTTAGAAAATATTTAGAATATTTCTTGTGTCAATTTTTTTATATCAAACTACAACAACAATATTATTTTTTAATTTATATAAATGTTTCTCTTGAACAATTGCTCGCAATATAGTATCCGATCCCTTGAGTTGAATTGATTTTTACGAACCAAGTGTTACTATTTATTTTTCGAACTAGGGTGGCGGATCGAAGCGACGGTCGAATATCACGGAATGTCAATGCAATCGCGTCGTGCCACCGAGCGACTCTCTCTCGTTCGACTCTAGTACGCGTGTGGTGCACGTACATGGTGCGCGTAGGACGTAGAAATGCAGCAGCGGCGCGATGCGGTCAGATTCGCGAGTAGTTTCAGCCGATTGCTGACCGCGTACATTTTGCGGACAATGCTTTCCGGGAAACGCGGATCCCGGATCCAGTGCTTTCCTCCACGGGAATGCGGCATGGCGCGGGGCTGGACGGTCGAGGAGATAGCGTCGGCCCCCTGCACATCGACTGCATCGTCATTCGATGCGTAACTACATCCAATTGCTACCCGACAAACCTTTCTGGGAATTCAGCGAGCCGTGGCGCAACCACGGTGGTTACACTGTGGCGGAGGTAGACGAGCCAAGGAGAACCACGACGGCAGAAGGAGAAGGTGATGGACGTGGAATAAGAGAGGCATTACACGCAGGCTATGGTTTATAGCACAAAGTGCAGCGAGCAACTTGACGCTGCCATTTGCTGAGTGACATATGCACGGAAGGGGAGGTCGCTTGGACGTTCGTACGGCAGCGGAGGATATAAAATCCATCACTATCGCATCAACGAGCGAGGCTGGTCAGCACGACGTCATCGTCGTCGACGTTATCGTCGACGTTGTCATCGTCGTCGCATCCTCTCCTTCTCTCGTCGTTTTTTTACGTTCCTCTCCCGATGACATCGCGGCAAGCATCTTTATTCTTCTCCACCGCTAGTTTCTTTCAAGAACCTTAATATCATCCCGACTATTTACTTCCTCGTTCGCCATTCGATATCTCTAACGGCACGTTACATAAACTATCAACGCCTCGACGTAACGGCCAGCTTTATCGCGACGGTCGCGCGGTTTGTCATTAGCGATTTTACTGCTTAACATGCGTAAGAAACCAGCAGTTATCTACACGAGCCGTGGGACGGGGGGGGAGGGGGTAACGCGCCGTGGTATGTTATATCATCAGTAATTATTAGCTAATTAAAGTTATTATTTCATGGTCATAAAGCGGACATCCTTCGCTCGTCGCCAGACCGCCTTCTTTATCTGGTCACGATAAGACGCCAAGCTGGCGCGCCTCGCGGAAGGATCGCGAAGGAGGCAGAGAGCGGGGAAGGGGGACAGAGCAGAGAGACGGCAACTTCACCGTCGCGCCTCGTCGTTCCTCTCGATCTATTATACAGCCGGTACACGACACGCTCTCGTCGTGTGGTACACATAGCGCGGCGCGGCGCGGCGCGGCGTGGTCACGGCGTGGTCGTGCGCGACGAACGGTATGGCACGCTTCCGCGGTAACTCCATAGCGCGGTTATTATAAATTCTCCGGGAGTAAGCGCGGAGTAGGTAGCCACGTAGCTACGTACTTGGATATAATAGTCTGAAACAAGTACCGCCGCGGAAAGGGCGAGGTCAGCCTTGTCCGTCGCATATTAAAGACACTTGGGGGCTTGTATCTGCCCCGCGCGCGAAGGACGAGGAATGCGCATACGTGGTTGTGCCCGGCTCGTAAGTGGCTCGTATATTCGACGAACGCGCTCGTCGTGCCCCGTGTATTCGACGACGCCAGGCGGAAGAGGTTGGGCCCCGCTTCACCGCCGCCACCGCCATCACACCGTCATCACCGTCACCATCACGATACGGTCTACTATGCCGCGAGACTCACGGGCGGCGCGAGTAAATTAAAGGAGCTCCGCGACAAGCGCATTGTTACACGGCCTGATATATGACGTCGGCTCTCGGCACGCGAGACGCGGCGGAGGCACCGTAAAACGTAACATTATAAAATGCTCGTAGCATTATAAATGAATTCGCACATGATAATCGCGCGAGCTCTCCTGATTATCTGAGTTTCCCGCGATCCGCCCGCTGCGATTCTCGTTTTAATTAGATTTTCCAGCTAATACAGATAATACCACTTTGTTGTTTCGCTGGGCGTTAAAAATCGTGCGTAACGACCAGCAATCGCTTATTAGCACGTTGATTAGAGTCCTTTAGTTATGCGCACTCGTAATTACATAGCTGTTTGCCGGTGCTTTACCGTTTTAATTTGCGCGCCTGGATTACGGGCGTCTTTTTCATGCAAACCGCGCAGCATGCGCGGCAGAATTTTGACGTAAATTGGTCGTGCGAAACACACACAGAAATGCCACATTGTGCCGTCGCAGTTTGCAAGTAACTTGTAGATAATTAACGTCATGTGATCCCTGGGAAGCGCCTTATCTAGCCACGTTATCGGTCAAAGTGCACGGAGCAGACGCTTTGTTTCCCTCTCCGGGAGTTCAATACTGTCAGGGGAAGTATACATCGGTGGTTGACCGTAAAATTAGTAGAACGTGTCTTGGTAAACTTTGTTCCAAGTAAAACCGAATCTGCTTCACATGCAAGCGCCGAATTACGTCGCGGGGCGTAGGATTAAATTCGCAGGCGGGAGTAGCAGCGAAAGAGACAGGCGGGCGTTTAACACCAGGCAGGCAGATTACTTCCCCCGGAGCTGGCTGGGCGAGGAATCGAAACGTGTCTCATCCTTCCTCCCCATTAACGAGCACAAACAGTATTTAGCGGTTACCCATTGATCGTTGAAAAATCCTCAGCGCTGTCCGTTTAACGCGATTAAGGATAAACCACGTTAGTCTAGCAGGACTAAGTTAAAACGAGAAGGATATTCAAAAAGACTCGACGATATTTCAAGTAAGCAATTTTGAGCTGAGCTATCCGCAGTGACGTGTCACTTTCATTATCTTTACCTTTACACTTTTCTCTTATTTCCCATCCCCGCGCTATCCTTCTCGGACCAATCATAAGGCTGGCGCGTAAAATTTCCATAAAGACCGCGGGCTGTATAAAGTGTTCGCACAAAGGGCTGCTTTATGAATTCGCGCGAGATCTATCCGGTATAATATGCACCTGCTGCGACCGTCGAAATGAGCTACGTGCAATCGTTTGCTGTAACCCCATTCAAGAGTCACGTTTCTGTCGAATATTCCTGACCTGAATTCCCTTACGTTTTATCGTCCAGCCTTGATTTCTGCGGCCGAACTGATGATTCCGCAGACCAGACATCACAATCGTCACAACGTCGCGTTTTTGCGATATGCGATTTTGCGAACCGAATTCCCAAGGCATTTGCAAAAATGCGGCGACACGCGCGGAATCCGGATCAATCGTATACATCTCTTTGAGCAGTCTTTAAATATTCCGTTGCATTGGCAGACATTTACGTTGACGCATAGTGTAACAGCTGATTTCGATGTTGACTTTTACATTTTCAGCTGTAATAGTATAAAAAATGGTTTATTTACCGATATAGAGATATTTATATAAATAAAATAGATTTTTGTACAGAAAAATAGTTAGGGCAAAGTTAGGTGAATTGGACGTCAATCGTTAAATCTTTTTTTAAAAGATAA